AAAAAAAAAAAAAAAAAAAAAAAAAAAAGAAATAGTTAATAGTATGATTCCCTATGACTTTTTCAGGCATCCCTTACTTTGATTCTTTCCCCAAATATTCCAGGATGTGTACTCACATCTGAAGATTTGGAACCAAGAGGCTGCAGTGAGAGAAAGAGAACATGAGATGTTTGTCATTGCTCAGCTCAGATCATTTCTACTAGATCAGTTTACCTGCAGAGTTCACGATTCTTTCTTTGGCTCTGGGGAGCATGGTCAGCCTGAATAAGTGGTCCATAGTGTAAATGTGCGTTCCCGTTATTGTTTCCAGTTCTTAGTTGTTAGGAATAGAGCAGCAGTGAACATGGCTGAGCAAGTGCTGCCAATAGGATGTTGTGGTTTGGGGCATATGCCAAGGAGAGGTAGAGTTGGGCCATATGACCGATTTATTTTTACAGCGTGCTTTAGGACTGTTACTTCTAACTTTGCTACATGTCCTGAAAGGATGACTATATCTGATACATAGATTGGTATTGTACTTACCTATTTTCAGAAGATACTTGAGCATAAAAGCAAAGTTTAACAATTGAATTTTGTTACATCCTTTAGTGTTTAAGGGTCCTTGTGGTAGCTGTACAAACAAGACAATCAAATCTGGATAAGAGATCTATTGCCATCTGTATATAGTGGAAGATTCTGGATTTGATACTCCCTTCCCCCAGTATTCTACCAATATACCATTGCTTTTCAAAGTGTAAGGATCTTTGGGGGCAAGACCCTGAAGATAAGGGCTTTGAGGCCAGGACTGTTTTCATCATAGGAAGACATTTCTTTCATTGTGCTTACTTCAAAGTATACACGCAATTTTCCAAGTGCTAGATAAGATAGTGTTTTATCTGACAGGAGGTAAAACAGTACAGAACTAGGTCTCCACTGTTGAGACATTAAAGGAGATCTGTAGAATAAAGAACAGTGGCCTTCACTTAAGTGGTTTTTGTTTGTTTGTTTTTTTTTTAATTTATTTGCTTGCATTGATGTTTGCCTACATGTGTATCTGTGAAGTATTGGATCCCCTGGAATTACAGACAGTTGTAAGCTGTGAGCTGCAAATTGGTTGCTGGGAACTGAACCCAGGTCCTCTGGGAGGGCAGCCAGTGCTCTTAACCTCTGAGCCATCTCTCTGGCCCCTTAAGATTTTTAGTAAAATATTTTTATTAACATGTAGGTTAAACACAATCTTTAAAAAAAAAACCCAAGAAATATGTAAGAATTTTGCTAATTCATAACATGGAAAGTATTTAAAATAAAGCAAAAAACAGTGGGATTCAGAAAACCACTAGTAAGTCACAGAATTAGAATAACCTTCACAGATTTTCATGTCATCCTTGCACAAGGGCCATGCTAATTCTCTGTGTTGTTAAAAGTGAGCTCCCTTATGTATCAGTCCCCCTCAGAAACAAGCGTTTGTCTCCCACATTGGCTTTCAGAGTGAGCCCTAAATCTGATTTCCTTAATCTTTAGGCCGGTATCTCTTCTTAAATGCCATTGCAAACCAGCTGCGGTACCCCAACAGCCACACCCACTACTTCAGCTGCACCATGCTCTACCTGTTCGCCGAGGCAAACACCGAGGCAATCCAGGAACAGATCACAAGG